CTGGGGCTCCACAGAACTAGCACCCTCTGCTGGGACCCAGCACCCTGCAGCCTTATCTTGCCACAGTCCTCCGCTGGTCTCTTGTTTCCTGCGACAGGGCTTATATCATCGTCTGCTTGGCTCCTGGGCCCCCCATTTTTTCCAGGGAGATAGTCCGAGAATGAGCAAACCGTGAAAAGCCTGTGCTTCTCTTTGCTTCTCTTTGAAGCTGGGTTTCGATTTGTGGTTGATTCAGTAAGTTGGGGTTTTACTTTTTAGTTCGATTAAAAAAAAAGTCTTCCGTTTCAGAAGCCCCAGTGTAGGTGCTTAGTGTATTCTTGCCTCACCACTGTTTTTCAGATTCCCTCTGAGGCTTGGCTTGGTAAGCAAGAAGATACCAGGTGACTGTTCAGTTTTTACCTATGGTGGCTCCCGGGGAAAACTGGACAGGTTGAGGCTTCAGAGAATCGATTAAGCCAAGGGTACATCATTGCGGTACCCTCATTCCTCTGGCTCATTACATCATTGCAGTACTCAACCCCAATCACATTTTTAAAAGCGGACTCAAATGAGCCATCTTGATTGTAGAAAGTGGGGACCGCAAAAGGCCCTCCCTGGTGGCACAGCAGGTTAAAGCTCAGCACTGCAAGCCAGCCACAGCCACTTCAGTGTGAGTTCCATCCCCGGCCCCGGAGGTGACCCACATGGCACTGCAGACCTCTCCTGTCTCGCTCGCTGTCCCCCTCAGCGGTGTTCTTGGTCGATCTGATGCCTGTTCTACTCCCTGCTCTGTCTCAATCACCGCCCCTGCACTTCTGGCCTGTACCTGTTACAGGGTACCCCAGTGTGAACTGGGGTGCCTGTCTGTGGGTGCTCACCCGCATGCTTAAGATTCAATCATACTGTGGACACACACAATAATGGATTTATTTACAAGGAGAGAGGTAAAGATAACAACCCAGGGAAAGAGAGAAAAATACAAGTTAAGTAGAATGTCCTACTAGTTCTGCTGACTTGGACTCCAATAGTAAACTGAAAACTGACCGAGAGCCACATGACCAGCCACAAACCACCAGGCCTAGAGACCCCCAGAGCCCACATGTCCCGTTTTATCCTAACCTGGCTGCTCAGCTCTGCCCTCATGTCCCAGCGTGCTTCTCCTTAGCATTGATGGGATTTATAGTTCTAGTATCTGGAGTGGGGGCAGAGTCCCTGAAACCTGTACCTGTTACATACCCAGTTCTGTTTGCATAAGTAAATCAATCTTTAAAAAAAGAAAAAGGAAGTGTGGGCCACAAAGACTGTTGTTCTCATATGTCACCACAAGGTGGCAGGCTAGATCCCATGAAGCACAGTTGTTTCTGTACCTCGACTTTGAATGAGGTCTGTTGGCTTAGATTTGGTTATTGAAAGGGTTTTCTAAGGTCTGATGCGCATACTCCAGACAACAATGTATGTTCGACTTTATCTGGATTCCTTTTTTCTGAGCCCTTTGTTTTAGTGATAAAACAGGGTGGGACTGGCATAGGCAGACCCACTGGGGAAGTCCAACTCCTGGCTTGTTTCTGCAAATGAAGTCCCACCCCAGCTGTTACCTTTGGCCTCTGGTCTCTGGCCATGTTCCCATTGAGACAGCAGGGTCAAATCATTGTGAGGACTTAGGTTGCAGAGCAAAAATATTGACTGTCTGGCGCTCTACAGATAAAGTTTGCTGGCTTCATTGTAGAGTATGGCTGACATTCCTCCCAACTTGTTCTTTTTATAGTTAGTAGTCACTAGTAAAGATTTTGATGTGTTGTGTCTATGTATACATTCTGCAAACTAAAGAAACATTTTATTAAAATTAGTGAAAAAATAGAATTGTATCTAGGTACCTGCTTTAGAAAACTTGCCTTCTGCCTACGCAGCAGCTGCTGCTTCCTTTAAGGGTGCAGCTTTAAACGTAAGAACTGACCTTTGCCTCTGCCTTCTTCAGCCCAGCCATCTTTGAAGGCCACGCGTGTACTGTTGCTTTAAACACGTTAAGTCTTGCATTTGGAATCCTCCTTAGAAGACTGACTCATTCCTCTGCCCTCCTCCTCCCCCCAAAGAAATGAGCATCACTTGAACTGGCGCTCGCTAAGTGTTTCCAGGGTGCCAGTCTTTGAGCTCGAGGCACTGCACTGTCTCGCGATGAGGGGGCCTTGCTGTGGTCCTCACACTTACATTTTGGTGTAGTTCTTCTATATTGTGTTATCTTTAAATATTTTGCAATGATCAAAATGCCTTCCTTGGTCATGCCGGATGATCCAGCGGAGCCCCCAGGGCAGTGCAGACCGGATTGACCGGAGGAAAACAGCCCTCCCTCCCGCCTGGGCTCAGCCTGTCTGCCTTCGGTTGCTGCCACTTCCTAGTCCCCGTTTAACAGTGAAAGATAAAAGGGAAGCAAGTAAACAGGATAAAATAACCTGAAAGGGTGTTCCATAAAGAAACAGAGATAAAGCAGTATCCACAGACAGCTGCAGATAAAATAGAAAAGTAAACAATTGAGAAAATTTGGACAATGGGCAGGCTGGACCACGTCTCTATTTAGCAGTAGCTAAAAATAAGAAACCTCCTGTGCAGCAGGTTGGCGGTGGGTGCCGGGCCATCTGAAGGTGGGCCTCGGGGCGTGTGGCAGACTCTGTGGAGGGTCTCGTCTTGGATCTGGGGCTCTGGGGTCTGAGTGCACCCTGGCTGGCACCCATCAGTGGGAGGCTGGCTCTCATGCTCACCCCATCCACCACCCCGGGGTGCAAGCCAGCTGAGCTCTGACAACGCTAGTTGAAATGTATGAGTAGCTTTCTGAACTGGCTGATTTCTGAACTGTATTCACCCGTCAAGGTGTGTTTCCTCCATGCAGAAGCCTAGTAGCTACGAGCAGCTACTGGAATCAGGTTCTGGTTCCAGGTTCCTTGGGCCAAGTCCTAAATTTGTTCACCGGGCTCATGACTTTGACTAGACAACATTCAGTCTCTTATGTGTCTGCGTGTCGTCAGGCACAACATGAGGGTAATCCCGCATTCCTACCAGGCTACCCGAGTTGTAAATGGAAGTTTAGAATAGGTCCGGCACGTGCTCAATAAATCTTTTGTTTTTTTAAGATTTATGTATGCATACGGAGTTGGGGCACAGGCCAGAGGTGGTGAGAGGATTCAGCAGAGACTGAGTGGGAAGCAGAACTGGCTGAAGTACTCTGCTGAGGGGAGCAGCTGGCGGGTCAGGAGAGGTCTGTCACGCCATGTGGGTCACCTCTGGGGCGGGGATGAAACTTATGCTGAAGTGGCTTTAGCTTCTTAGTGCTGTACTTTAGCCTGCTGCGCCACCAGGGAGGGCCAATCTTTTATTTATTTATTTTTTTTGTAAGGTTTATTTGTGCATACAGACCTAGGGCACAAGTCAGAGGTGCAGGGGCAGTGAGAGGCTTCACCAGAGGCTGAGTGGGGAGTAGGACAGGCAGATCGATGAAGTACACTGCTGAGGGGAGCAGCAGGCTGGTAAGGAGAGGTCTGCCGCGCCATGTGGGTCACCTCCCTGGTCAAACTCTCACTGAAGTGGCTACAGCCAGCTTGCAGTGCTGCGCCTTAACCCACTGCAGGGACGGTGAGAGGATTCACTAGAGACAGAGTGGGGAGTAGGACAGGCAGATCGATGAAGTACACTGCTGAGGGGAGCAGCAGGCTGGTAAGGAGAGGTCTGCCGCGCCATGTGGGTCACCTCCGGAGTCAAACTCTCACTGAAGTGGCTACAGCCAGCTTGCAGTGCTGCGCCTTAACCCACTGCGCCTCCAGAGAGGGTCCTCAATAAATGTTAATGTCGAGAAACAGTCTCTTCTGGGGACCTACAGGGTCTCTGGCTTCTAACCAGAGGCTGCTCTGATTGGGTCACCTCAATCCACAACAGGTGACTTGACTGTTAAACCTTACGTAGACTAGTTCCTTTCCCAGCTGGAAAGAAATGGGTTCTGTCGTTTTGAATGCTGAGGCCCCCAAATCCCTTTTTAGGGGTCATACTCGCTTGGTCAAGGCTGGGTTTGGGGCAGCACTTTTGGTGCTCCTTAAAACTCCTGGGGTGGTGGCCCACATGCATCCAGGATGAGGGGG